TTACGTGTTTGACGCGGGTGTTCCTGCCCTTGGCTGTTGCCCCTACCGGTAGCCTGTAATGTTATTTCTCGAGATGCTTAAACAGCTTGGAAATTTGGGGAATGTTTTGACGCTGGCCGAAAACCTACGTTTATTTGTGCGAGCAAATACGTTCTGTATGACAGTGGTATGTTTTAAAGAATGAGGTGAGGGAAGCAACATCTTTTCGTTGTCCTCACATGTAGATACGTTTCAACAATATCTGCTTACCTTAGGAATTGTCAGACATGTATGGTTTCCCACCCTCTGGGTAGTGTAAACCCTAAGGTAGATATTCTGCTGGTTTTTACCATGGAGCTTACGGTTTTTACCGTGGAGCTTACTTGCGTGCGCACAAGATGTTCAGTACTCTAAGCTGGTGAGACTGCGCACTGCAGACACTGAAGCATAGCAAACCCCCAAACTCCAGCGTCTTGCAGATAAAGTTATACTGTATTTTTTAACGTGTCTATAAAACAAGTTTAAATTCATATTGACTTGAAAGCTGTAAAAGAATGCCAGATAGCAGTCAGCTCTGTCTTAAGCTATTTAACCCCACAGTACATTTATGAATATATGGATGCGTAAGGAATGAGTCTTTTATCTTGGAGGTACCACGTGTGTTTCAGAGAGAGTAACCTATAACATAACACTCAACTAAGTATAACCTCATTACTACAAGAATTTCTTAGGAATCTTAAATTTTTGTGGACTAAGATTATTTTTTCTTAGGGTCCAGCTGAAAATACTCTTGTGTTTTCCAGAATAAGAATAGTATTAGAGCTTTTAGAAAACTAACGCTTTTTTTTTTTTTTTTTTCTTCTGGAAGTGAGCCCTACTGTTGTTTGCTTCTACTGAGGTGCATGTTTCTTTGAAATAGACATCTTTTTGTGTTTTTCAGCTTGCTTTCTTTAATGATTTATTTGTTTTATCAGTTCTCACTGATTTCTGTGTAGTAAGCTGCTGTAGACACACATGGATTGAAGATCTTTTTTATTTCCAAAAGTGATAATAGCCATGTTGCAAATATAACAACTTACATGTTTCTACTGGACTAAAAATATTTATGCACCTCTTGCTGAGCTTTAGTTCTTAAAAAAGTTTCCTGTTCATAAAACCTAGAATAATACCACTTCCTCGATTATACTTAGTTGCTACTCTGTTTGTTTATGAAATCAAAGCAAATGTGGGCTGGGTAATACATTGATTACATTCTAAACGGAAACTGTTGTGTTGCAGGTAGAGGAAAACAACCTTCTGCGGTTCCCAAATTCAGAGCAGTTAAGGAGCTTGGTTAGTTAGTCAGGCTGGCGTTTTGCATGCATATGGTGTAAAAGTTACATCTGACTTTTTTTTTTCTTAAACTGAGGAAACTATGTATCCTGCAGTTTGAGATGACTAACCTGACTGAGAAAAAATTAAAAGCCAGTAGCAGTTAACGTAGTAAGCTGGTTGCTAAATAGTCTTTTGGCGTGACATTTGATTCCCTTATAGGGGTGTGCTTGTGCTAAAAGTCTGTCACTAGCTGCTTCTTTTTTTCTCCCCTTCTGACCTTGAAAATTCAGGAAGACAGATTTGAGAGTCACTTGTCTGTCTATTTAACATGGAAATAGAAGTATTCTTTCCACTTTTTGTTTAGTTTTATGATGTTGTGTTTCTGAGTAAGAACTAGACTTGCTTTGTGCATGGAATGTCACACATCAGGTGCTTTCTAGATTAGGTGCATAGGATGGTGACAAACAGAAACAAAGAGGAGGCCTTCACAGTTGTGTCTCTCTCAGGACCTCTTTTTTTAAATTACCTTACTTTTTTCCTAGTTTTAGTAATTTAATGTTTTTCTTTCAATAAATCTCTGCCAGTGTTTTTGATATGAAATTACTAACACAGCTTCTGTGTTTTTAAGCCATGTCTTGTTTGAAAGAATTCACTATTTGTCTTGCTGCACAGTGCAATAAGCTGCACAAGCTCTGCATAATGCTCTGTGTTTAGATGTGTTTTCTTTTTGTCATCCTGATCAAAGCTTTTGGGTTTTGTGGCTTTTTTAATATAAGACCAAAAATGTCTCATGAAAGCTTAAGGTGAACATAGGCTTTAGACTGACAGTAGTAATTTCAAATGCTCTGGTAAAACGTTCAGTGTGTTCCTGCCCAAAATTGTCTCAGATACAGCTGAAAACAGTCTGCATAAAAGCAAACAAACAAGAAGTTACAGGAAAGTTGTTTTCTTCGTATGACACTGTTAAATAGGCAGCTTGATAAGGTGATTAACTTAACAGGTCATCATGTTGCAAGATAGATTGGTGTTATGTTATAGGCTATTCATGCAGCGTTCATGTTCCATTCCATAATGGTAAAAATAGGCACTTAGGAGCTTGATTTTGGAGGGTGGGGAAGTGGAGATGGGAGCTCTTTGTGTTGCTATATCACAGCGGTGCAAGAGTGTACAAAGTTTAAATTGAAAAGTTCGAAGGAAATGTTTGTTGTTTGGTTTTGGGGTTTTGTTACATTATTGTGCGATGTTGTCTGATGTTTAATTTTTCTGCAGGTGAACACTAAAGCCCCACAATGTCTTTGAAACCACGAGTAGTTGACTTTGATGAAACATGGAACAAACTTCTAACAACAATTAAAGCTGTTGTTATGTTGGATTACGTTGAAAGAGCAACATGGAATGATCGCTTCTCGTATCCTTTAAGTGAAAATCTGACTTAACGAGTCTTTGTGATGTGTTTAGCATGGAATAGGCCTGTGTTATGTAACAATTTCAGTGGTCTTGATCAGAAGCCTGTTGTAAGGTTGTATTGCTGTTAAGCCTGTGGGTCATTGGATAGGTTGAAAAGGATGGGAAATTCTGCATGTTTGGTATGTACTATATGGGAAAAGCACCACAGTAATAACAAGTAAACGGGTCTGAGTTTTACTCACTTTTAGTAACTCTAGTACTTAGCTTATGCTGTAGCTGTTCACAAAAGTACATGCATTGAATTTCCCCTATTCTGATAGTGAGTTTTTCTTGTATGCTTAAGTGTGTGTGTGGCAGGGGAAACACGTAAGACAGAGAATGCACATCTTTAAATTTAGGGGAGTAGGGGGTGGTGGGGTTGTTCTGTTTTAAAGATGTCTTCCTCTTCTTTGCACTTCTAAGTGTTCTGACTGCCACCATCATTTCTATAGCAAGGGTTTATAAAAAACTCTTCTTCCTTTCCCTCCGTTGTTACTGCCTCTCTCTTCCTGACAGTTAAGCTATGTTTAAAAATAATTACTCTTTCTAGCTGTGATCATACAGTCGTGCTGTTCAAGTCACAGCTGTACATATATTGTTGTAGTGAAAGGTTTGCATTTTACATGTGAAATGGACTTGTAATTTTTTACAAGGTTTAAGTTTCAGTGAACTTCTTTTTAAAGAACCGTAACTGTTCTAACCAGTTATACTGTGCCTTGTATCTATGCATTCTTTAGCCATTACAGTGTGGTGAGTAATTAGAGAATTTTAGGAGACTTTGCAGCTGTTCCGCAGCAATTTGACTGAGTTTGGTTTCATTACAGGGGGAAGAATGGTTTCGACTTATTTACTGATTTAATTCTTCTGGGTGAAAAAAGAAGCTCCTGAGAGGATTCTTATACATAGATTTTTACAACATAAGCTTATTCTGTGTGCAGGAGCTAGACTCTAAAGTCTCTTCTCTTTCTGAATGTGTTACCATTTCTCAGAGTTGCTTTCCCATGTGCCTGTGTGCATGTGTGTAAATCCATAACTGAAAAATCTAGTTGCTCATAGCCCTTGTGGAGCCTTGTTCTATGGTGCAATAATCTTTAAGGAGCTCTTTCATTTTAAAACTTTGTAATTAGTTTCTAGGGTCATGCCTCCTCACCTTGTCTTGGAGTCAAGTTCAAATGACTCCAAAATTTACAGAATTTTTGAATTAATTAGTTGTGCATTTATGTGCTGATAATTGTGCTGTAGTCATTCTTTCTAAGCAGTTTTTGAGAACTGTGTATTTCAGTCTTCAACAAGTGGTTAACTTCTGTAGCTTAAAGCTCTAAACATGTAAACAAGGGCACCTAAAATAGATTTAAATCTAAAATAATAGTTGAATGAGATGTTGGATTGATTCCTTGTCACACTGTTTCACGTAGAACTTGTTATGTGGAGGCCTTGTACACAAGTCTGATGCTGATACTCTTTTGGAAGTTACTCCAGTTGATTGAACATGAGAAAGGGAACGCTTATGAATAGCAAACTCAAGAAACAGTCTTGGAAGAATCATTTGGCATGTAATTCTAAAGACTTTACTTACTATCATCTCTTAATTATGTTCCTTGGAAAGTGACACTATTAGTGCCTAATTTGGCACAGGCAAGAGCCTTTTGGCTGGATCTCTGTGGCTGACCAGCCTGAGGAGCTTGTGTGACTTGTAACTTCTATCTTAAATGTTGATTGTTTAGTACTTCTGCTGCCTTTAACCAAACTCTGTGTTTTAGCACAAACTGTTCACTCAGTATTCAACAACTTGGTGAAACTGGTGCTTCTATACAATGGTGCAAAAGCTTTTTCCAGGTTTTAAGTATATAAAGAAAATTAGTGTATTAGTAATTAGTAATTAGTGTATTAAGTATTAGTGATATATTTTAGGAAGATGTGGCATTTAAAAAAATATATCTTCTTATTCTTTGTTAACTTTTCATTCTGTTAAAAGCAATTTGAGTAATCTGTTTCTAACCATCTACAAGGATTTTAAAGGAAATATATTAACTCTTTTTCTTGCTGCTTGATAAGTGCAATAAAAAGGTGACAAATGATTTGAACTATATGTTAATGAAATTCATATGGGTTATTTCATTGATTGTAGTACCACCTGATCTTTGTAGTCTCTGTAGTTGAAACAGTGATGTGGAAACATAAGATGCAGCAAAGAATCATTATTTCAGTCTGCAGCAGTGTATTCTAAGAAAAGCAAACATTTCTTGTGCTGCTTGAGGCAGCTGAGATCAAATGGTGTCTGCAGACTAATAGTATTTTAGGGGAGAGAGGCTTGTACCATGCATATTCCACTTTTAGAAGCAGATTTTGCCTCACTGCTTCCCCAGAACCTGTCTTGAATATAGCGTGTTCTTTGTAACTCTGATTGTAGTTTTATTGTTAAACATAGCTTATCTTTAAATACAGCTTATATCTTGAACTTGAAATGCTAGAATGGCAATGAGATGGGAATCTCAACTGTATAAGAGTTAAAATCTTCTGGAAAAGATCACTTGAAAGACCATATGTCACTTTATTTAAACTGTGAGTCATCTTGACACCTTTGACCTTCAGATTTCCTTTGAGGTTCTCTGTAGAGAGAAGTTTCTCTGGAGTTGTTTCGTTGTCTGGTAAATGAGTGACAGTTGTGTCTCTATTTGAGATATTATTTACAATAATTTATTTATAATGAATGCTTTTTAAACTTTTTAGACTCTGCTTCTAGCTGTTCAGTAGGCTACAGAGTGCTCTTTAAGTTAAGAGGCTGGTCAAGCTTGATTAGAGAGTGGTAGTTCATCTGTACTTTAATAACTATCTTTTGGCAATAGAACTTTTTTGAACGAGTTGAACATCAGGATCTTCCTGTTGTTGTCTTGGGTTTTCCACCAAGCAAATAAATAGGATGAACAGTAACCGCGGAGGACTGTAGTTGTACTGCAGACATTTTATTTTAAAAGTATGCAACATGGCTACCTGCTTTTTCCCATTTTTCTGTATGTTTGTTCTCCCTCCTCTAATCCCCCATTGTACAAGGATCCTATGATGAACCGGATACTTATGAACATGTATCTTCAACATAAGATCCAACCTGAAGAGAAGGAAGAGTATATGAAGTTCATATGATCGTGGTTCTTTCTGACTGTGAGTCTTAGTGCTCTATGAATTTTGATTCTGTTACAGAGGAAGACCAGCAATCACAGAAACTCTCCAAAAGCTCTACTTTGGTCTTCTAGAGAAGATATATTCAAAACCTTCTGTTAATATATGTTCTTAACTAGATGCTTTTTTAACCCTGAGGACAATGTTTGTGAGCTTTTATGGCCTTGGATACCATATTTTCTTGTTGATGGTAGTTTGTTGTTGTTTTTTTTTCTTGGTTTGGAATTGCTTCAGTTTCCCATTGCTGGGTAATGTCCTGCAAAGACCAGCTACTGAAGCAGTCAAATTGCACAAGGCTTTTGATGTGCTTGTGCTTAACATAGAGTGAAGGCCCCTAAGCAGCAGTTTGACTTCAGCTTCTTTTGACCTTTCTCACCCCGTAAAACCACATGCAGAGCTGGAGGGAGATATGGCTTTCACCATTAAAGATAAATTATTGAACAGTAAAGGCTTCTTCCTGATCTTTTAAGGGACAGCACAGAAAAAAATGTGCTTTACATTTTTGGAGTAAAATACCAGTGATGATTAATGATTCATCTCCCCCCAAAGGCATTTTTTGTTGTTGTTGAGAGATTCACAACGTTTTGAACTACACTTAAATTTGGATTCTGGACTAAAAGATACACTTAAATGAATGAGCTAGTACAAATTGAGCAAGCATGTGAACTTTCTGTAGCAAAGCTACTCCCTAATGTGTTTGAGGCTTATGACAGCTCTTTTTTGTAGAAATCCAGAGATACTTAGTATCCAGCAAGTAGAAGCTGGTGTACAGGAAAACACGCGAGGTGCCTGTGGAAGTACTTGTGTGATTAAGCTGTTAGTTTAGTTGCAGGAGGTACGCAAATGGAGGGTCATATGTCAAGGAAGAATACTGGATTCAGCTTTCATTTGCAAGAAAGTTTGACTGTTCTCTAGAATAAGGAAAGGCATGTTTGGAAGATGTGCATTTTCATGAAGGAATACAGATACTATTTTCATTCTTATATAGGTTTATTACAAGTAAAAAACTTGTAAACAACAGTAATCGTCATCTGGACTCCTAACTGAAGCCTAGGGCACAGAGGCTGGATAAGTTCAGAGATACTTGTTGGCTGGTTTTGTCAGATAAGTTGCCATTATTGTTTTATTTTCTTGTTCTGTTCTGGTGAAGTTAGAGGCCTGTTGCCTCTACCTTCAAGATAAGTAGTTCTTGTAGCAGAGATCTGTAACAGTTTTGGTGATTCAGATAGTGTAGTTGTGGATCTAAAGAAAAACGTCATGTCCCCTTTGCTTGTGAGTAGCTTAAAGATTTCTAATTCTGGAATTTACTTTCTCAGAAATACCTTACTTGCATAGTAAAGAAGTTTGTGATCTGGATGATATTGAGGATGCATTCGACTACTGACTGTCCTTAGACTAACAAAATTTGTTTGGGGAGGGGGGAGGAATGTGTAAAAGAAAAAAAAACAAACAACAAAAAAAACCCCTACCAAACAAACAAACCCCACAACAAAAAAGCCCCACACCAACCAAACACAAACAAAAAAACAACCAAAACCCAAACACCACCCCCCTCATTTGTTTGTTACAATCTAAGAAAGCCTTTCATTCTTCACTGCTAATTTAATAGTTTATTTTGATTTTTTTATGGGTCATAACTTTGTCAGTAGGTGTAATGTAGTCCTACCTACTGTTACAAAGCAGTGAATATTGCCTGTTTAGTTTCTTGGGGTTTCCCTTTAATGCTTCTTGCCATTGCAAGGGGAATTCTGTTAAAGATTATCTATATGAATGTACAGCTGTACTCAAGATTAGACCCTGATTAGGCTCTCCGAGATTCCAGTTGACAAGTAAAGGCTTTTTCCATTTAGTTGTCCTGTATGAGTATCTTCTCTGGTTTTAGTAGTACTTCTATATAAAAACCGAAACATACATTTGGGAAAAACTGTGATGAGAGTTTAATGCTGTTCTGTAGACTAAGCAGGTGACTTATCAATTGTCCTTATGTCTTCTACCTCCTTTTACACAGACGTGTTTTTTTTTTAGGTAGCCTAGAGGAAAGCAAATTGCTTGTCTTCTCATAGTTAAAGAACTTACCTTGACAAGTAATCTATACTAAGTCATTATTTTGAGGCCTTTTGTAAAACCAGCCATGTTAGGCTTAGTGGATAAGCATGATGTTTTGAAGTATTCTTTGCTGAACTAGTTCATTTCCCACAGTTGTTCACCTGAAGCTTGACTTAATCCTTGCGTGGTTTTTCTGAAAGCGAAGTTCTGACTTTGTCAGGAAAAGAATTTATGATTATCAAGTGGCTTTTTTAAAACTTGATATAAACCTTACAAACCAAAGGTGAATGTCTGCAAGATAATTGAGGGAGAAACCACCTTAAAGGGTTTAACTGTTTGCTGCTGCACATTTAAGTGAGCCAGTATAACTGTTTTGTGTGACTGCGATCTAAACAGGATTACTGAAATGATAATAACGGTTAAAAAGAAAACAAAACTTTTGAATCCACAGTACTATTGTGATGACTTAATTTCCCATGCCTCGCAAAATTGTTTTACCTGTGGAGCTGGGAGGAATATGCAGTAACAGTAAATTGTTTTAGTCTTGAGGGGGAAAACTAGAAGTTAACTTCACTTCATGTTTGCTCTGCTCCATACTTGGCTAATCACATTCTTAACTTAATTAGTGCTTCTTTCTGTTATCCAAAGAGGGTCTCAATTTCACATTGGCTGCAGATACAGAGGAAGAATTTTGGATGAAAACTGATTTTTCATTTTGAGATAATCGTATATTATTCATAGATGGCAAATTAGTAGCAGAAGCCGGCGCTACCAGAAGTTCCAGGATCTTACATCTGACTTCCCTCACATTTCACTATTTGAAATTTATTATTGATGCTGAAAAGTTAGATTCTTAACAGATGAGGACTTAACACTAATTTCAGAAAATGATCCATTTTATCTTATGTGCTTGACTGTAAAAAAAAAGAAAAAAATCTAAAGTGCATGTGTGGGAGAAAAAAAGGTTCTGTAAATCTTAAATTTTGTTGATAACATTTCACACTTTAAGCAGATCACACCTTGACTCTGAGTCCAGAGACATTTATGCTTTGTGTGTGGCCTATCCTGAACCTCTTGGAGAGAGACTTTATACTGAGACTAAAATATTTTTGGAAAATCATGTACGCCATTTGCACAAGGTAAGCTATACAGTTACTTATGTACATGTAGGTATTGCTTGTCCTTTTTTTTTTTTTTTTTTTACTTTAAGGAGGGATTTTGTTTGCTTTGTATGTACGAATGTATGTAGATTTTATGAGACTAAATCACAGATGACAGTGTTCCAGAGACAGAATACATGTATCTGTATATCTGATATATGCAAGACATACATCACACAGCACAATGTAAACAGATACATAGATATCTGTCTACATGCAACACAAAAGAAAGAACTTTCTTTTTAAGCCAACAATTATGGTTTATATAAAATGTTCAGTTGGCTTGAAAAGTGGACTCTTGACTTTCTGTTGAGTGCTTATAGTCAAACAAGTTACAGAAATGTCTTTGTTTGCCAAATGTGCTATAGTTTGTCATTAGCTTTCTGTTACAAAGTAAAAGTGTCTGCTCTAGTGTCTTGGAAATTGATCGTGTATACTCTACTAAAGAAAACTTCGGAAATATGTGGGAAATGAAATAATAAAAATGCTTGGGAGGGGAGGAAGTAATGACGAATTATTTATATGACAAATAACAGTACCTGTATGCCTATATAGCTGTGAATTAATTTCTGTCTCATCAGCTAAGACACCTAATTTCAGGAAAATCATGATTCATTGTGTTGAATATGTGGGATGAATGAGCCATGTCTCCTTCTATTTCAGTAAAAAGAAAAGTAGATTTAAATAAGATGTCCACCTGTCCTTGCTGTGTGTGTAGGTAATGAGGGATTGCAAATTGTGGGTGGTACTGCTCAATAGCTTGATGCCATTCTTTGAGCTTAGGTCCCTGTGTGTTTGACAAGACAGGCTGGCTATCTTAATGGGTAGTTCCACTGGCTGCAGAGAGGAGATACTGCTGATGCTTTGGTGGACTAAATCAGTTCACTAAACTGGCAGGCAATTTGGCCAGAAAAGTTCATCCTCATTTATTTAGTAAGCTGAGTGAGCTCACTTAAGATACGGGCAGGTGCCAGCACAGTAGCAGCTGTGGGAAATAGCAGAAAGCATACATCCATTTTTTAAATTGGCTGTCCACCATTTGTCTTTGAAATCATGTTGGAAAACCTTCACAGAATTCATACTGCAGAGGAAAGCACTCTCAATTCTGTTTTGTCTTCTGCCTTTCCTATTTTACATTATTCTTCCATAGGCTTCTTTGCTGCTTGAGCCAGAGTTTACATGCTGTAGAGAGGATTATAGTTGAATTCCTAGGATCTCATGCTCCTTCACAAATCATATTAATTTCTTTAAATTGTTGAACTTATTCCTTTGAAGTATGAATATATTTGGAGAAGTTCAGTGCATCAGCAACTTCTTAGATGATAATTTGCTATAATTCCAAATGATTTGGGCCTAGATTTAGAGAACTTAAGACATGTTTAAGTTTGCCTATATCTGCATTTTGTTAAACTTATTTTATTCCAGGATTCCTGGTAAGTATAAGAGTTTGTCTAACCAGTAGGGCATACTGAATTTAAGCAGTTATAGTTAGGCAACTCCTCCAGTGTGCGTGTGGCTGCATGAATTTAAAACGAGTCTGTGTCAGTGAGGGAATAGTTACGTGAGTTATCCCACCAGTATGATATGAGAATATGAACCGTGTTTATTCAAGCAAGTACTTCTGTAAAAACGAATATAAAATAATACATTATAGAGATTATTCTTTTTAAATGCAAAATGAAACAACTTCAGGTGTTGTAGCTGGCTTACCAAAACTTTATGGTGTGAAGATTTGTTAGTTTTCTGGTCATTGCGACAATGTAATTTTTAAACCAGTTAAAGCCTAGGTGTAGTCTTAATTTTAAATCTCTGATTGTTATTCCAAAATTATAATCCTGTTATAACTTTCTCTGTGTGTATGCTATGTTCATGCTAATTGTGGTGGTGTGTGTGTGTGTCTTCACAGAGAGTTCTGGAAGCTGAAGAACAGGTACTAGTTATGTATCACAGATACTGGGAAGAGTATAGCAAAGGGGCAGACTATATGGACTGTTTATACAGGTAAGCTTTTGCAAATGAGTTGTTAAACTTCTGAAATTATTAGTGATCTGCAGCTTAAGTCTAAGAATGTTGCTTGAAGAGATCAGTGGCTGAATATGCCCCAGGTCACTTTTGGAGAGAACATAGTTATGGTAGCAGAACATGAGAAAAAAGGAGTAATGCTCCAACAGGTTTTTCTATGCAGTGCTTCCTTGCCACTGAAGTAATTATCTAAGATGATTCCCATTATTCTTTCATTGCTAACATATTCTGCCTCTGATTCTGAAGTTGCAGTGTCAAATATGTTGGTGCTTATCAACCCTGCAGTGAAGTAGCTCATAATCCTAGGTCGTCTTCTGCAAGGATGCAATTGTACCGAAGTGTCTAGTTGAACCAGCACGGTTTGTTTCAAAGCTTAGCTACCTACCTTGACAAAAACACAGCTCTCCCTTCTAGAAGAGCTTTTCAGACAGGGCTCTGTGCTGAGTCCTTTCTTTTCAAATGACTGTTTGACCTGCAGGTATTGGAAAGAGAGTGAAAATTTCTCCTCGTTTTTTTTTTTTTTTTTAGAATTTTAGAAACTAATGGACTGCATACAGGCAATGAATTTTACATTTTTTTTCAGTAGGTTGCAGCCAAGTCAACAAACAAAACCACAACTAACCCCTGTTATTTTTGTACTTCTACAGTTTTCTGAATTGCAAGTGTGTTTCATTGCTACTAGTGATATCTTAAGCTTATAAGACTCACCCATTCATGAGTTGCTAGAATTATAACTATATTGAGATGGCTTTGGATTTAATAAGACTTGGATTTTAATTCCGCTCTGACTGTAGGTTGAACATTCCAGTGTCCGTTATGCATGTGATACCTGGGAGGTAAATATAAGTTAGGAGGCGCTGTTAATGTTGTACTTATTTGATGGCACGATTTGAGGAGTTACAGAGCGCTTCGAGATCTTTACTGTTACGTTAGGATAATTCTGTGATCTTGCAGATCTATGAAGTTATCACTAGCAGACTGGGAAGAAATGTGACAGAGTCCATCCTGGACTTGCAAATTTTAGTTCCAGAATGTGTCACTGGAGAGTTGATACAGGGGTTTGGAAAAAAACCCCACCTATTTCATGTGTATGAATCTCACTGATTCTGCTTTGTATAATGTTTTTTCTGAGTGCTTGAGTGCTTCTGGTCCTAAACCAACAGATTAAAATACGTCTCCAGCAGTGTGAACCTGATTGTTTTATTTTTAAACTGGCTAGAGAATTTTTTCCAGACAGTTATTATGCACAGGAACCAACCTGTACACGTATTTAAGCTCAGTAGAGTGGTATTCATATATCAGTGAAGCCAAGTTCTTAGATGCTGAGGTTATTTATTTCATGCCAGCTCTGTCTATTGTAACTCTTTTTCCTGCTTTGCATATGATGTTTTGGTCCAGAAAATGTACTACTTAGGTATTTTGTTGGAAATAATTTTATTTCTAAGTTATGTCTTCTTTGTGTTGAAATTCTGAGTTTTGTCATATACTAGCTTTTAAAAGTCTCTAAAGGGTGTGACTTCGTGAAAGTATGATTTTTCTCTTCAATAATAAAACGTACATTGTAATGGGAACTAAAAGATGCTCTTGTATGAAGGCAAGAAGTAATTCAGTGCTTGATTAGTAGAGTCATAATGACTTTCATGTGTTGGAAACACTTCGTTAAGTGTTATGTCACTTTTATTTTTTTGGGAGAATGTTTCGGGTGAAAATACTTCTGAAGACCATAACAAGATATTCTGGTTTTTATAAAGCAGTTGGAATTCTTTCTTACTTGCTCACCTGCTTCCAAAAAAGTACCATAAATTAGCTGAATCTGTTGTATCCCATGATCTAATTTGTATAATTCTTCTAGCAGTGAAAACTGATTAGTCTTTATAGCTAGTAATCATAATGTTATTTTTAAATAGATTCCTTTAAAATTTAAATAGCCTTGCATCTCTGTTTCTTAATCCTTCTACCCTGATAGATATTTGAAATACTACTAAATTGTAAGATGCTTTACTTTTGAGCAAAATTTATAAAATACAAAACCAATCATGTGACTGGCAATACAGTCAAACATTTCCTTTGGTGTTGGTTTTATTTTGTTTGGTTGTTTTTTTTTTTCACCCAACCCTCTGGGTGCATTTTGCTGGGAAAACAAATATGGATTCAGTTCGAAAACTAATCCCATACATGGGACTAAACCAAGGTGATAAAACTGATGGAATAAGGGACACTTGATGTTAAATAAACAACTTCAGTTGTTTTTGTTAGTTCTGATGATAGACATGGTAGATAAAAACAATGCTGGACATTGGGACTTATCAATGTCTTGATGCTGTAACAGTAATCATACTTGTAAAAAATATGTTTTGTGTAACTGGAGGGTTTTCTTATCCAGCAAATTAAAATTAATTTAAATTATTATTTTTTTTAAAACAGCTGAAGTTTTTAAATCTGTTCATAATAAAATTCTGAAAACTAAACACACATAGTACAGCTCTTGCTTTGTTCCATTTTGTTGTGTTTTTTTAAATACCCGTAATAATACTAGCGTATTAAGGTACAGTGATTTTTAGTTTTTTAGGCTAATTCTAGTTCTTTTTCTACTTTTACGTAAGACGTCTTCCTTCCTTTCCAGGATTAAATGTCAGCCAGTTTTGTCATGATAAGAGTTAATTTGTATTCTAATTCTGAACATAGTATCACAGTAACCTGTAACACAATTCAAACTGATATTAGTTCCAGTCCCCTTCTCATTTTTTAAGCATTAAGAAGCTGCTGCTCTTGATCTTGCTTACTAATTTTGTAACTTAATAAATATGGGGAAGATTTAAACAAGAAATCCCATCAACGTTTGAAACCTAACGCTAATGACATTTTTCTGTTGAAACTTTTTCAACCGAAGGAACTGCCTTCATTTTAGGCTCTAGCATTTGGTAGCCTTGAGATGTTCACTTCCACATCAGATATTTATTTTTGGTCTCATCATTTTGATACAGCTGTTGTATTCTTAAAATTTTAGTATCTGCAGTGCTTTGTCATAATGAAATGGTTTTCATTTATTAGTTAATCCTCAAGTTGTGGTAGATAACTTTAACCCTGTTTATAGATCTGTAAACCAGTGAATACTTCGTCTATGTTTAGGAGTGAATCAGAACAGATACTGGATTATGAAAATTTCCAGTGCTGAGCACTTGTATGTGTACACTACTAGACATGTTAAAGCATTCTGCTTGTATAAAGTACAGTGATCCTGCTGCTTTTCGTGTAGCTCTTATGAAGTCACCCTTACATGCTTTCATTGAAACATTTAAAAAAATCGATGTGAACGAACCTCTGAAGGTCATCCCTTCAACCTTATGCTCAGAGTAGAGCTAGCTTCAAAGTTAAACCAGATTGCTTAAGGTTTTGTTGAGTCAAACTCTGAGCTCCTTCAAGGGTGGAGGTTTTCCCACCTTTATGAACAGCCTGGTTTAGTGCTTGATTACTCTCAGTCTGAAAAATTTTTGTGTATTTTGAATTTGTTGTTCTGCAACTTGTCTCTATTGCTTCTTAGTTTTTCTCTGTGCTCCTCTGAGAAGAGTTTATCTTCATCTTATGGTATGTCTCATGCTCTGCACCCTAGCTATTTCAGTGGGCTTTCTCTGGACTCTCTTCCATTTGTCCAGATCTGTTGTAGTTGGGTGTTCAAAGCTGGTTATAATATTCCAGATGTGTTCTCACAAGTGCTGAGGGAACAATCACCTCCCTCAACTTGCTGGTGTGCTCTTGCTAATGCAGCCAAGGAGGTGGTTGGTTGACTGTTGGCTCTGCAAGACAAACTGCTAAGTTAGTATCCACCCATGAGGAATGCTGTTCGTAACTGTTCCCAGGATAGATTTAGCATTACTGGCCCTACAAATACATACGGAAATTATTGAAAACATTACTACAATTGCTAACTCCTGTTATACAGTAATGTACTCATTTATAGCTTTGTCATGTATGTGTTTTTGTAGATTGCAAAGCAATGTAGTTTTTTGCAAGTGGTACATTGAAGAAAATCTTAAAAACCAAACTGAATGCTTCTACAAACTGTAATAATTAGTCCTAGCTAATTCAATACCTTTTTTAATCGTCTTCTATACATCAGAAGGGTGAATGATACTGCCAGTTAGGTCCTTTATCCATTTCTCTGTCCACGAGCACTTGCAGCGGCCTGTGAAAAATGTTAGCAGGGTTCTCTCGGTGCAAATTTCTGAAAGCCATTTCCTCAGCACTTGATCAGGTTTATTCCTGTATACTGTTCTGCTAGACTCGCGTGCCATTCTGGAGATCGGTACAGCAGTCCGGCTATGTGTGTAGGAGGGGAGCAGGGAGAGGAGCTGGGGGAAGAAGTGATTTCTCAAAAGTTTCTTCTTTATCTGTGGAGAACTGTCAGAGGAGGAAAAAAATCTGAATAGGAGGGTATCTACCCTTTTTGCTTAAAAAAATATATTTCTAGAAATACATATAATCATGTGTTGTTTTGTGGTGTCCTATCATGGATGGATAAAGCCTTGAAGGAGGAAAATTCTTTTGGCTTTATAATGGAGAATATAAGTCAGCTCCTGGATATTTTCTTGAGACAGGTATGCTTTTAGGTTTATTACATTCAAGTTAAATTTCACAATGTCTATTTTGCTGACACTAATATTGGTTTCTTATCCAGGAGTGTGTAATTCAAACTGCTAAAACCAGATAAAACATTAAAAGAAAAAAATACACATCTAATCCTTCTGACAAGGCTTTGCAAAGTCTCTCCTCCCAAGGACATTGTGTGCTGTTGAGATTTGGAAACATTGATTTGGGAATGTGGTCAGTGTATCTAGAATAGTAATCTGTGGTTAGAGTATTGTCCTTGGTTGATCTAAAAGTACCAAATACATGAAAATTGCCAGGTAACTTGTCCCAATAATTAGCTACTCTTCTAATTGTTAAATTAGGTTTTGCATGTAATTTTTTTCCTAAATTCCTAGTAAAAGAACTTTAACCTTTTATTTTGCTCAATTATCAAGTCTTTTATATCTGAAAAAATTTGCTCACAAAAATATTAATGTACCAGACATTTTCCTGATATTGTTAATTTAGATGGAACACTGTCTTTCAGTATTCCACTGTAAAGTAGGTGTTTGTTTTGAGTGAGTCCTGTAACACTCTTTTAAATTCCAGATTTCTGAACTTTCTGGAGTGGAAGCTTGGTGGCTGTATTTTGAGGTTTGGCTACCAAAAGGTATATTGTTTTGCTAATACCATGAAAGGCGACAAATCTCAGTTTTCTCATCTTGTTTGCCATTTTCCTCATCAAATAGTAAAGCATAAGCCTGCACAGGTGTGCTCTCAAGTAAGTAGGCCTGAGCTGTGTGATCAGGTATTTCAAATTTTCACCTGAAAGTTTTTATCTCAATAGTAGCAAGAATCTCTGGGTATCTTCTGGTATTACCAATTCATGCCCACAGTAAGTTACAGATGAACCTTATGGGTTGTCTTCCAAAAGTAAGAAATACAGATGAAGTATTTGAAGTGGTTATTCAAGGTGAAAAATGGTTTATGACTTCAGTGGAGAAGTTGATTTGAGATTGTACTGTTTGCATATCCTTTGCAGTTATTTGCTTGTGCTTGCACTTGGTTCTGGAAGTTCATGGTAAAAGTAGGGGAAGGGAGTGGAAACGTGGGCAAATTGGTTTTGAGGCAGAGGGTGGTGATGCTCTTGCCACGAGTGGTTCTGCCTGCTTGCTTCTTGCCACCCCCTTTTTTGCTTGAATCATACAGGTCTTTACAGGAGTATCTGATCTAGGTTAAGCTTGTTTATTTACTTGTGACTACGTTAGTTTTACGATGGATCAGTTGCCTGATCTGAATTTGTTGAGAAGGCATGTGCTGATGGAAGAGAGAGGCTGTGAATGAGGAGAGCATAGGGCTTTCCTTTTTAGCAAGCTTGACAAGAAAAAACAGAATGGCAGCTGCTGGCTTTGTTCACATTGAGGGGGAGGCAGGAAATACCATGAAGGAGCATACCTGCTTAAGGCTTGTGTTCAAGTATTCTGGATCCACACAAGTTTTATATGAAATGGTTGGCCTGTAGCCTTCTACACAGGCTTGCATTTACAATTTATGATAGTTGTTGAATGGTAGCAGGGCAGTTTACCATACTCTGTAAGACTGGAGTCTGAAAGTAGGTTGGGACACTGTATTCCAGTTATTCACCACTGCAGTATCACAAGTCTTCCTTCTTTGGACTCTGTGGTGTCCTAATTCTTTCAAGTTCACAGGTTTCCATAGTGTGCTTCTCCTTTTCTTGTCATTTCTTCCTGCCCAAAATGTTCAGGCATCACTAGTATGATGCAGCCTCTGAAGCCTGAATCTCTTAAAGCACTTCAGTAATCTGGCCCTCTTTGGTGTCTGAAACTGGGTGTCTCAAAACTGCTAGTTTGATCGGAATTTAAAAAAATAGTTCTCAGTGACCTCATTTAAGCACTAACATATAACAAATATTTTAAGTGTAGTTATGAAAAATATTAGAATTTTTTCCCCAGTTATCTGCGAAAGACAAGGACAATGACTCAGTTTAAAAATGTTATTTGTATTTCTTTTAAGGGAATATTAAGAACTGAGGGATGTTTTATCAGGTCTTGTGCAGAAACCATTCTCTGTTCTTTATAAAAACTATGCATGCAATAGTAAATACTGAAGTAAAAAAGCACATTTATAACATTTATTCTTTATAACTGTTAATTAAAAAAACTTCTGCAAATTCTTCTCTTCTCTTTAAAATCTGTAATATATCTGGTTTCTAGTTGTCATGACCTGAGTAAGGGAACATAACTAACAAAAATTAGCCCTGTAAAAATTGACACTATTTTTGTGTTTTAATCTGAGAGAAATGAAAAATAATAAACGTTACAGGTAGAAGAAAATACATTTTACTTAAAAATATCTTATACTCGGGAACATTTTTCTATTGTTGAAAATAAACTACTATCACTCTAATACTAGTCAACTGCTGAGAATTTAGCAGTTATTTTGCATATACATATGAGTAATACGTTGAAAGGTTGGATTCTTACACAAGTGTGTTGCACACCAGGAAAACGCTGACAGTGATTCATAGATTCATAGATTTCTAGGTTGGAAAAGACCTTAGAGATCATCCAGTCCAACCATCCCTAATCCCCATTAAACCATATCCCCAAGTAGATCATCCACCCTATTCTTAAACACAGCCAGGGATGGGGACTCAACCACCTCCCTGGGCAGCCTATTCCAGTGGCTGACAACCCTTTCAGAGAAGAAATACTTCCTAACATCCAACCTGAATCTCCCCTGACTAAGCTTATGCCCATTTGCTCTTGTTCTATCACCCATCACTAATGTAAAGAGCCCTTCCCCCTGATATATCCAGCTGTGGTTTGATATCTCAGTTACTAGCACTGTACTGTTTTAATATGATGTAAGATCTTTTAAATTGAAATAATTTATATTTTAAGAATTTCCTACAGATAGCAATGACATTCTACAATTCCAAATTTATTTTTTTTTAAAAAAGCTAAACTTTTGCCTACTTTGATTAGAATTTCTTTATTTCTATAGGTACCTGAACACACAGTTTATTAAGAAGAACAAATTGACTGAAGCTGATCTTCAGTATGGTTACGGAGGGGTGGATATGAATGAACCATTGATGGAAATAGGAGAGGTAGGTATCTCTGAAAGTGGCAGTAGGTATAAACTGTATTCAGAAGCACTACAAGTTCAGCTTTGTCCTTTTAAATTTTGACTTATCCATGTTACAGAATCTGAATAGTCAAATATGGTAGAAGATGTAAGCACTGAACCCTTTGTGAAATGAGATTACAGTTTTGATGTAGAAAAATGTAGTGACGGGGGAAGCAAATATGGAAATTATTGGAGAACTTCAGTTTAAATTGTGATAATAGATACCACTTTGTAAAAAAATTTTGGTTTTTTTTAAGTGACACTACTATCTAGAAAATATTTTGAAGAAGCAGTACTTTTACTTTTGGAAACCCTTGAAATATTACTTTTAGGCTTCTATTTCTTGATGTGACAAAGTGTAACAGCTTTTTTTGATATTGGACTTGTGTACATCTTACTTCCTAAAGCAAGCAGTTTTGTACTTCTATTGTAGCAACTCACACAGATTTTGAAAGGAAAAAGTAGACGTTCTGCGCACAAAAGTATTGTGTAGGAAGGGCTTATCTTTTAAAAAGAAAAACGTAATTTGGGACAAGCACAAAAGTATTGATGCAGTTGCTAATGTAAGTTGGAGAGACTGAGAGTAATTTTTAAATGCCTATAAAATGAAAAAAATTGTCAATAGTAGGACTAAATTCTGAGATACAACCTTGTGCACTTCAGCTCTGCAGAAGTGAAGTATGCATCGTTTCTGTCACTTTGTGACTACTCTTGCTATGAAATATAAGAAAGTAAAATGAAAAGACAATTTTATAACAAAAAAAATCTTTCAAATTTTTCAAAACTAAGTGTTTAATTATGTCTTTAAGAAGATTTTGGAAATACTTTTTCAGTCTGAATCAGAACAAAGCCACCATCCTGAATACAGCTGAGTACAAACTTTGCTTTGAATGCTTGTCTGCATATCTGCTTTGTGTCTGTATATATACACACTGCTAGCTGGAGAAGTAATTTTATTCTGTCATTATCTGTAGTGGTGTATTGTTTTTTTCCTTTCCTCTCTACCTTTGCCTTTTTCTCTAAAAGGGAGGTGAACGCTGTTTCTCTTTTGGTTTGGAAAGACAGAGAAAACACTTTTTCTTTTCTTAATGTCCGAACCTGACCTGTCAGTGATTGCTGTTCTAGCTCTTTGATTTCATTGTTGTTAAGTAGGAGATCTCTGCTGCCTTTAGTTAAGAGTAAGGAGAGACTGTCGTGCATGAAGAAGCATCTTCTGTGCTTCTGACCCAGCTACCCAGCTGATGAAGATGGCACTGCCAGTTGAAATTGCTAATACTCTTGACAGGTTGGGAGTGGACTGAAAAAAACCTAAAACAACACCGGAAACATGATGTACTTTAAGTTGGGGCAATTCAGGAAAGGAAATTCTTGTCTTGTCTACCTGTACTGTCTTGAATGCTTGCTAATTGATGGCATCTGTAAATGCTTATATCAGAGCTTGGTAGTGCGTATTGCTGCACTGTTTGTAGTATCTTCAAAATGGCATAAGTGTTATTCCTTATTTCCTCAAATTGAGATTTAGCTGAGCCTGTTCCCGCAATTATTGGCAGTAGTCCTTAGCTCTGTGTGGATGGCTGTCAGTTCAGCTGCTTTGGGGCCTGGGAATAGGTCTGGGCTTGTTCTTGGGTCTGGATGTTTCAGATGTGTTAATGAATTCTCCCTCCATTTCAGTGTGCTACTCCATTCCGAGGTATCAGTCAAAGGATGGTAGTGGCAACTTTTGTCAATAGCTTTTTGCCCTAGGATATGTTTACCAAAGAAGTACAAACAGCAGACCTGATAATTCAGCTTTTTTTTGAGTATTCTGATTTCCTCATGTTCATGGAATCATGGCCAGGTTGGAAGGACAATGACACACTTTTCTTCAAGCTTCTCAGCAGTTGTCCCTAGGATGGTACATTCTTAGCTCATCATTTGGGCAGGTTATGGGGAGGGTCGAGCTGACAGCCTGTGGTTTTTGATGAAGATGTTTGGCTGATGATTTCTGGAATTCTACTAATGAGTTTTTCATTATCTCACTCCAAGATTCCTTCCATTTTTCTTTACCAAATACTGTCTTTGTAATCTGTAGTAGTGGGAGGTGAATTTTGGATCTTGAGGTGGTAAAGTTAATCTCTGTTCATTACTGGTGTAGGATTATGTTTATGGCAGTTACTCCTTTGCTCTGAAAAGGAATGGGAAATTGAGTCCTACCCTCAAGTAGTGTAATGCATTAAATTGCAGCACTGTTTTTGGTGAATTCATTGCCTCAGAAATAAAAGTAATTCACATATCTTGACCTACAAGGCACTTGTCATGTTTATGAAGTCTTTGTTTTGAAAACATTTTCTCTTTTGTTATGGTTCCTCTTCACCATTTACCTTTAGGATTCTCTTTTATTCTTTGGATTGCTCTAGGGGCTTTGACAAAATACTTTATTTCAGTTGTTCTTTAGAATGGAAGGAATTATCATTTATTCCTTTTTAGATGACTGAGATGATCTGTCCTTTATCTACCCAAGAGCAAACATGCTTATTTTATATATAGTTCTCTTCAGTCTCAGCATGAAGTTACAGAAATAATGCCCAGTATTTGTAGAAGCAGAACTGTACTTTGTGTACTAAAGTTTCTGTCTCAGCGTCATTCCTGTGTGCTAATGAAACTTTGGGAGCTTTTCTGTGATCTTAAATGAGTACATGCTTGTGTAGTTCTTTTGAGGTGTGTAATAGTAGGTACGTACATGAGACTGGAGGTGTGTGTGATGTGTATGGGCATGGCTTCAAACAGTTTATCATCCTGCTAAGCGTTCCAGACGTTCAGTAATTGTTGTACTAGGAAAATACAGGATGAGATTAGTTGATGAAAGTAGTCTGCCAGTGCTTGCAAGACATTTTTTTTATTTCTGTCTGTATGTTATGAATGCATGGTGAAGGATACTGCTTTTCTGAGTTGAGATCCTGTTACCGATTTCAGACTTCTAAGTTTTCAATGGGAGCCCTGAGCTAGAAGGTAGTTAAGATTTGCCTTCCCTCCCCTCACCCCTGTCATGGGGCAACAGATTCTGGAAAATGTAGAAATGCCATATTCTGTATTTTCAGTCTAGGTGGAGATGTAAGATCAATCCCTCTCTTCAAGGAGAAAAAAGTCTCTTGAGCTAATACATCAAGTTGCTGGATTGATCTGTCTGTAGTTTGCTTGACAAGAAAATTCCAATACTCCTTTGGGTATTGAATCTGATTCTGACTTACGTGTAAAAACCCCTTTGAATTATTGCAATTGTGTTTTTAAAAATGATATGTTTTGGGAGCAATTACTTCACCTACAAGAGTAAGATGTTTTAGTCGATTTGACTGATCGATCTAATGATATATTGGGAATAGAGTGAACTGTCCCTAATATAAAGATGATTTGAATTCGATTGAAGTGAAGTGTTAGCTTGCCAGTGGCTTTCTATATGTTGTATGCATCTTCATGTGGAGATGCTCTCTGTGCATTGGATATGAGGGTTCTGTGTCTTTGACTCTGACCAATTGGCCAAGAGACATTAGCTTTTGTCAGCTGAGACTTATTTTGTTACCACTTTTAGATATACCAGTGTCTGTACACGTTCAAATACTTCAGGTAGAAAGGCGTGTTACTTACCTATTACTGTGCAGATGATCTTTTTGTATGTCCACTCAAAACTTCCCCTCGTAACCAACTTGCTTAATGTCCTGATATCCATTTGAGAATCCTCAACAGAGTGGAACCAAAGAATAAATCAGTCCTATTAGATGTGTAGGAAGCATGCAGACTGGGAAGTGTGCATTCAGATACTGCCTGACTAGGAAGTCTATGTCTGACACTGCTAGTGTACAGATCTGTGTGATCTTCATCCAAATGCAGTCAGATGTTCTGGGAGAAAAATGATAAAATAATACATTACTGTGCTGACAAATGGGGGGGGAGAGACATGGCAGACAAAAGAATTTAAAAAGGAGAAAGAATAATGTATCTAACAATTTTTCAAATCCTGAATGGGGAATTGGTCATCTTTGGTTTTGTTTTGGAGTGTTTTTTGTGTTTTTTACTAATGTGAACTTGTGTTGTGTCCTGACAGCTAGCTCTTGATATGTGGAGAAAATTAATGATAGAGCCACTGCAGACCATCCTTATTCGGATGCTCCTCCGAGAAATAAAAAAGTGAGTGCTTGATTATTTTTTCTTTTTACACAGTGTGGGAGTATCGCACCTTTTTTACTTTGAAGAGTCTGAGGACTTTGACCAAATTCTTGTATATTTTTTTTGAAGGTAGCTTCTTACTTGATGATGATGTTTTATCAGCTTTTCTCATTGTAGCTACATATTTGTGGTTTGCATATGTAGAAAAAGTCTCTGAAAAAAACCCAGTTAATTCACTGTAATCCAAGGGTAGTGACCTTTTCTGTTTCAGCAACCCTTCTTATCAAAGAGATTGGGGAGTAGTTGGGATAATTCTCCAGGTCCCGTAGGATGCCTTTTGCCTTTCACCACCTGATGCTGGCAGCTTATGGTTTTTGTGCTGTCAGTAAACATAAGGATTTGCTGATGCCAGAGAAGCTATGTTGCTTTGTATGGGTCCCAAAACAATTCTTGCTTTTCTGCCAGGGATCATAGCATCATAGAATGACATAGGCTGGAAGGGACCCTAGAGATCATCTAATCCAACCTCCCTGTCATGGGCAGGGATGCCTCTCAACTAGATCAGGCTGCTCAAGGCTCCGTCTAACCTGGCCTTGAACACCTCCAGAGAGGGGGCATCCACAACCTCTCTGGGCAATCTATTCCAAAGTCTCACCACCCTCGTACTGCAGAATTTCTTCCTAAGATCTAATCTAAATCTGTTCTCCTTCAACTTAAACCCATTTCTCCAGGTCCTATCAGTGGATACTCTTGTAAAAAGTCCCTCCCCAGCCTTCCTGTAGGTTCCCTTCAGGTATTGGAAGGCAGCTATTAGGTCCCCCCAAAGTCTTCTCTTTTCAAGGCTGAAGACTAAGCTTCTGGGTTTCTGTTGTTGAGATGAGTGACTTCACTTAATGTTCTTGGTGCTTTACTTGAATGAAATGGAAATAATTTTTTTTTTCACTTTGAGGGAATTTTATTGTTTTATTTATGAATCTCTTTGTTACTTTTAAACAAAGACCCTGGTAGTTTCAGGATTTGGGGCTTTTTAAGTTTTGATTTAAACCCCTTATACTGTTTAAGTCCCAAAGGATCTTTTTATTTATGAATAAACAGAAATTTCAAAATGTACTGTGGACCTTGTGTGTAGTTGTAAGTTCCATCAGTTTTTATACATTCGCTACTGTTTAGAGTAGCTCTGAAGTTGCCTAGTGACTGAGGTTTTCTTAAGTGATTGCTTGCCTGACTCAGGTGACCAGGCTAGTGTAGGTAAACTGAAAGAGTGAGGTAATTTTGGCTGATTGAGGTGCCTTGGACATGTGCTTAGTCAGCCAAAACCTCAAAATTCCTTTCTGAATTAAGTTTTTGATGATTAAGTAACTGACATGATGTCCCTCTTGGGTGGTATTTCTGAAGCCAGGAAGTATTTATTTGCTTTCAGTTGTTGAACCATGCTTCCTTTGTAACCAGTGCTAATACATATCTTTACTATAACAATTTATTTTTATTAAACAAAGATTCTCTTGTTCATGGTGAAGAAAATTCTACTTTGTTACATTAAGCACAGTGACACTGAAGACTCATTTTAGTCAATCTATATATTTCACTGGTGAGAGGAAGTGGAAATCTGTGTTAAAACCTTTTTCAGCAGACATCTGATGCCTCTTAGAAGTAATGGTGTGTGTTTACCTTGAGACTGACTGCAGACCTCACAAGGGTATTTAGATCAAGACTGCCACTGGCTCTGTGGGGCATTAGGTCTTGAGACTGTAACAAGTTGATGTTATTTGTTATTAAACCGTTTTGAAAGTTTTAAATAAAACTTGAATCATTGTCTCTAATGGTTGGGTCTGTAATTTTTTTCCCCCTCTGTTGTTAAGGATTCTTCTATGTGATCTCCAAGAAGTTAATTCAACTCTGTTTCTCAAAATAGATGTCTAACAATTCATAATAAGTTTGTTCTAGCCACTTTGGGGTCTATGTATCATGTAATGGATTATATAAGAGAGAACATATTGTAGCTGTTCTTCCTGGTGTCATGAAATGTAGGGCTTCCTGTGGATATTCTGAGGATGGCCTTTGCATGTAACTACAGACTTGTTGCTATTCTTTGCTATAATTCCAGTGGTCAATACAGTTTGTAAGAGGCAATTTTAAAGACTTTGCTGCAAATAGCTGTTAAATGTCTTCTAGCATTGAGTTCGGCAATTCAGGGATTAAACAATGTCTTTGAAGAAATGAATATCAGTAAGTTATGTCTATCAGAGGTGCAAGAATTTGTGTGGGAAGTTTATTACCTATAAAATTCAATAAAATTACTAATACATGTATATTACTTAGAAACCTCTTGATTAGATGCCTTCGTAAGTGTAGTACTGAAGTGTGTGCATGGTTCAATTTATTAAAAGCTTTACAAAACCAATAAAATTTAATAGATGGGACAGTTCAACTTCTTATAATCAGAAGATTTTGCATAGTATACATTGATATGCATAGTTGATAACCAACACTGTAGTCAACTGGTTGCGTGTATATTTATTGGATGTATTGGATCTACTGGAAAAGGTAGGGGGAGCAGAGCCAGAAATTTTGCTTTCAGTTTTCATTTTATCAGTGTATTTAACTGGAATTTTAAAATGGCTTCTGACTAAAATCTTGAGCACAACTACTTTTTAGAAGCTATAAACTTGTGCAATACACTATACATTAAGATTAACAATAAACTTTTTTGGCACGTGAAAAATAAATACATACAAGTAGTGACTTGTGGTTCAGCTGAACAAGATGACTAAACTGATCTAAGAGTTTGTTGATGCCAAAAAAGAGCAGGCTGTGCTCTACTACCTTTCTCGTGCTGAATTTGATGCCCATCTAGTCCCTTAGTGAACCAACTAAACTGCTAATACGACAGAAAACTGGCTTGGCTAATACTTCTCCAGATTGGCATGATGAGTCAGTTCAGCAAAGAATTAGATGAGTGCCAAAGCAATGTAAGGGAGAAAGCGAGCCCTGTGACTGAGCAAAAGGGAGCAGGATTAGCCCCCTTGAACAGCAGAGAACTGTTTAATCAGTTAAGTCTGTCTTGTCTGACTGCACTCCTCTGTATAAAGAGTTCTGAATATAACACACTTTCTTCCCCCTCCCTCTAGCCCAAGCACTCCTCCTACAAGGCATGCTGAATATCAACTTACGCATTTTTGTTTCAACACAACAGGAAGCCGGCAAGATCTCGAATTGTGAGAAAATTCATGTATGAAATTCTTAAACAGAAATAATTTGGAAGTCATTCAGGTGCTATCTCAAATGACAGTGTGATTAGTACAGACTAACCAGGAGAGGCTTCTCTGCTAAAGATAACTAACACTTTCTAACTAACTGAACCCATTCCTGTCTAAGCTGATACATTATTTATACCATTTGTTTGAAAGGAAAGCTATTGAAAGTTAATAACCTTTTTAAGTGTTTGAAACAGACTCTTCTAGTTCACAGAGAATCCTGTAGGTAACTGTTTTCAATAGGCCGTTGGTCTGACACAGCAGAACACTGCATTTGAATGATGGAATCTTCTTTTAATGAATACAGTATTTATTGTTGTACCTTAAACTTTAAATATGTTCTGTGGGACTATACTAGTACACTGTATGATACATGTTCAACTTCTACTGTTAGCTTTAGTCTGAAGATAGGAGTAAGATGGAGTTGATATAAAACAGCGCAACATCTTTGAGCTTGTATTTTGTAGTTTTCTCCATTCCTTTTGAAAAGGAAACTCAGGAGCAGCAGAAGTAGTGGAACTTGTGTTTCTAACACTGCATCTTTTGGTCCAAATTCCCCACCAAACATCATGGCTCCCTTCTGCCCTGCTAAGATGTCCTGTGACATCCCTGCTTCAAACTGTATGGCAGCTGCTCTGTAGCTGTAAGCATCCATATTGCTTGCTGACTGCTGCCAAGAAGGAAAATACACACTTAATAGACTTCCATCTTGGTGGAGTCACCAGTTTCTCTCATTTTAGTTTGGCAAATACTCTTATTACTATAACTTTCATGAAAATTATCCTTGTAACTTCTGCAACTTCTGTCAAATTTTGTTGAAACTAGCCATTTGTGTTACAAATTCTTGGGAGCAGAGTGCCATTGATATAAAGAAAAACCTGAAGATGCTGCCGAAGTGGAAAGAATGCTAGTTTTGTGACATATGCTGTTTATCTTGGAAATAGCATAGCTTTTCAGATAGGTTCACGGTGAAGTTGATAACACAGTTCTGTGAGTAAATTTCGTGATAACTTTGCTGTAAATGCTTAATACTCACCCACTGAGGACTATGTTAAGCTACTAAAAATTATATGAGTGTCGGGGAGAAAATGATTATGGGCATCTGTTAAAAAATAAAAATAAAATAAATTTAAAAAAAGAGCTTACATGATCCTGGCAATTGTTCAAAACTTGTCATTTGATTGGCATCTGCATCCTGACTACCTCCGTATTCAGGAGTGGATTTAAACTCTTTTTCGTTGTGCACTACTAGCTACCCAGAAGGCAGGCAAGGCTGGTTCCATGTTGCATTCCTTTCCGTCTGTTGCCTTCATGCCATCTGGCCTCTGCTTCGAAAGCCTGTCTCCTCCCTTGCAGCTCTTCCATTTAGCATCTGCCTCCTGTACTTTTACAGCTTTTTCCTAAAGATACATTGACCTTCGAATCCCCTGGGCCTGACCTTTGTTGCCCCCTCTCCTCCTGTATCACTGTAGACCAAGGTCTATGAAGTGGCCTGTGAACCGAGCAGAGGGGAGCTGGGTCTTCATCTATAGTTACAGTAATGTTTCTTGCGCTTGTGTCATCGGTATCTTTCCAGGTCCAGAACCCTGCCTGCTAGAGGTGGAGTGTCTCTTGACAGAGTCCTGCTTAACTTTTAGTTATGTAGCTTCCTGCACTCCATGACATGGTGAGATGTTCACAGGCTGCGTGCATCCTGCAGCTTACCATGGTCCTGGGTCCCTCTGGAGTGGAGCCAGGTGCAGGCCCTGTGTTTGGTGTTACACTTCTTCCCTTCTGTGACATGCTGCTGCCTCTGTCATTGTATAATCAGACCCAGCAGAGGAAAGTTGGCAAGAATTCAGGGGGTGATTATATGTACCCAAACCCAGGTTTATTCCATTGGTTTAGCTACCAGAACCAGAGGGAACCTTCCTGTCTCCCATAGGGGAAAAAAAAATTGGACCGTCCCTGCTGGAGCAGTTAGCCATTAGGTCCGCTCGTTTGTAGTGGGTGACCAAGCTGCGTAAACCATACAGTGACTGCTTCTAATCTGTTAGAGACGTCGTTCTTTCCACCCATCACGAGCTTAAGTTTTCGGATCTTAGGACACAGTAGTACTTAAAAGCAATACCACATAATTAACAGTGGTGAACATATGAATATGATCTGGTGTATGAAATATAATGACTACTGATACGGCTGTCCTGGTAAACTTCCCTAGCTCATGAGCATCCTCTGGAGTTTTTATCAATTCCAAACCAAAATGAATGAAATTAGCAAAATTATTTCTCCAAAATTATTATTGTTCCACCCCAGCCTAGATGGGTATATGGTAATGTTTGGGTTTGAAGTATTTTTGTTGGCTTTACTTTTTCTTTCCCTTTTTATTTTTTTTTTTAATCACTCATGTAAATGACTCTTCTATACCAACGTAAGTTTCTAACAGAGAACTCATTTTGTCTTTTCAGTGCAATCTGGATAAAGTAAAAGTTCTTATTCTATATATGTGTATTTGTGTACATATGTATTTAAAAAAGGAAAACCTTTGAAATTACAGCTGCTGATGCTTAAGTGTAAATATACTTTTATAAATCATATTTTAGTCCTATTTAACACCTTAGGAGTTAGGGAATGTTTTTTTCCATTTTTGTAAAGTGTATTTGAAAGGTGGTCTTTGTTAGAACAGTTCATGTTTTAAGAAGGTCTCTGCTGCTCTGAGTGTGGGTCTGTTATTTCCAATGTTTGCAAAGGAGTGAACACTGATGTTTTTAGCATACAACATACTTGTTTTAATTACTTTTGTTTTCAACTGAATGGGACTAAAGATAGTATTTTCTTCAGTTGAACTTGCTTGTCTGAAGCTAAGAACTTGACTGGAAAACATAAGGTTTTCCTTTTCCAATGTATGATTAAAACTTGTGACCATGCACTAAGTATGTTATTTGTTCCACTTGACATCTACATGTTGAACAGTAGATACTCAGAAAAGAAACTAGCATGCCTCTTGGTGTGATGTTGGCAGAAATTTTTTTTTTTTTTGGCAGAGGCAGGGGTGTGAAAGTAGGCTCTTCGATAAAGGCTACAGATACAAGATGGAATTTATTGTAACTTTTAAAGTACTTGCTTAGAGTATATGATTTGGAATACTTATATCCTTAGCAAATGCTTGGAAATTTCATGACCTTCAAATGCTTTTGAATTGCTATCTGAACAATTTAAATGTATAGCAGAGAAAGAAGAGTGCATTTTGATTTTAAAATTAATTTTCTTTAATTTTGCCAATCATAGAATCATAGAATTTCTAGGTTGGAAAAGACCTTAGAGATCATCCAGTCCAACCGTCTCTAATCCCCCATTAAACCATGTCCCTAAGCAGACATAACTATGTCCCATCTAAGCCGAGGAATTTACTGGAAAATGTTTTCATCCAATATTATTTCATTTGACTATCAGAAGAGTTATATTAGATACCTACTTTCTCATGAATGTTTGCTTTGCCTATTTCAGTGATCGCTGTGGAGAAGACCCAAACCGGAAAGTAATCCATGGGGTTATTAACTCCTTTGTTCATGTTGAACAGTATAAGAAAAAATTCCCCCTAAAGGTAGATACACACTTCTGATTTATATTTTTAATTTTGAATGTTAATCCTAGTATGTGCATTATTTGTCCTTCAAAAAAAAAATTCTTCCTTTTAGTTTTATCAGGAAATTTTTGAGTGTCCTTTTCTGAATGAAACAGGGGAGTATTATAAACAAGAAGCTTCAAATTTATTGCAAGAGTCAAATTGCTCACAATACATGGAGAAGGTAAGAGAGTCTTCTGTATATGTGCAATAAGCAAAATCTAATATTATTGATATACTGATGATACATGCGTTCCTGTACAGTTCCTATAGTTGTCCTGTATTGTGTGTTTTCATGCAGTTTAAACTTTGCTTGTTGGTAGTATGGTTAATCTGAGTATAAACTACAAACCTTGCCTATGGATGGACTGTCAGCTTCAAAATAAAATAAAATGAAAAAACAACAAACCAGAAAACCTACACAAACCCAACCAAAACACGTATCAGGTTGATCAGTATTGCTTCCTCACTTCCTTATTTTCCTACTACTTATAGTAGCATAAGATGAGAGTTTTAGCAATATAATGGTTAGAGAAGACTACATGGTAGAGTTGTTACAGAGCATTGTTAAAAATTTCATACTCTAAGGTGGATTTTCTTTTATTTCGCTTTGTGGTGTATGAAGGCAGATTGTGATTAAATTAAATGTAGTTCTTATACCTTGCTTGAGGAAAAATTAATATAAGACTTGGAGTCAGTCCTTGGTACTAAACTGTCCACACTAGCAGGATAGAAGAGTTGAAGAGAAGGCTGTGAGATGACTTTTAATCGTAAGGAGCAAAAGCTAATGGTGTGCACCTAAGGTGAAATTCGGGGACATGCTAAGACTTCAGTTAAACCAAAAGAAATGCAGATTCATTTTGTCTGTCATTAGCAATCTGCAGCTGCACTACTGTCCCTAGACTGCCCTCATATTCACTGGGTATAAGTACTTTTGTGTCACTATTCATATGACTTATTTTATGATAACGCCTATTTCCGTCATTGAAGTTAGAAAGAGAGGTTCGATTAGTATCTTAGATGTACACATAGACCTATTGAGCAGATGTTTACATACAAGCAGAGGGGTTTGGAACAGTAAAGTTATTCTTAGAGTCATATAATCAGGTACTGTGGTAAAACTTTCTGAGAAGGAATAGGTAGTATGGTAGCAGAAATTGGGGAAGACTGGCCACAAAGTTGAAGGGAAGAAGAAATGTCGAGAAGATAAATACTGAGTGCTATTAGGCATCTAGTAGTGACTGAGCCTAGTCAGTACTCAAGAGCAGAAGTTTATATTAATTCAGCAACAGCCTGATTCAAAAGAGCAAATTTAACTTTTCAGCATCCTGGACAAGTTCCTTTTTTTAACTTTGCCGCTTCTCTGTGTCTCATTCTGCATACGTATACTGTTGTATATTCATGGTTCTATATTGGTTGTTAGTATTTCATCAACTCTCAGTTGAAAAATTTGTCTGTAGGTTTTAGGTAGATTAAAAGATGAAGAAATGCGGTGTCGGAAATACTTGCATCCCAGCTCGTATGGCAAAGTGATTCATGAATGCCAACAGAGAATGGTAGCTGATCACTTGCAATTTCTACATGCAGAATGTCACAATATTATCAGACAAGAGAAAAGAAGTGGTAAGTCTCAATGTCCACATTGAGGAGCGAAAGTGGTTTTTGTTTTATTCTTTTAGTATTGCACTTTACAGTCTTTATTCAGTGACCTTCTATGCATCTAAGCATTTTCAACGAATAGATGTTACCTATCTAGAAAGCCCAGTTAAACACTGAATGACATTTTTCTTTTACCATGTAATTCATTTTCATTCTTTCAAATACATAGTTGAAATCTTTTTTTTTTTTTCACTGTTTACAACCCTTCTTTTGGCCAATACCCTTTCTCTTTCCTTGTCTTAGTCTGCTTAAAACACACTGAAGTCCTGTGTCCTGTAGAATTAATCATATTTTATACTTGTGTTTTCATTTGTAAACCAATGGCTCTGTCTTTACCGATTTCTTCATCATCACTTGACAGGTCAGGATTCTAAAATACTTGGGCTTCTTTTCATAGCCACTTTTTATTGTCCTGAAGCTTTTGTGATCTCTTTTCCTGAATCCTTTTTACAAAAGCAGATATTCTTATAGTTATATTCCCTGCCTAACTTAAAAAATTATGCTTCCTGATGACTACATGCCTCTTACCCTTGAAAGAGTGCTTATTCTTGCATGGAAGATGGTATCTATGATGTGAAACAAATTATTTTTCACAATCAAACTTAAATTTTATCTAATAAAAGTGTTCAGTTTCCAGCGAGTTTTGTAAATTTGATCAGAGCTTGGATCTGTTTTTTGAAAAAAAAAAAAAAAAGAGCAAAAAAAAAAAGCAGTTGCTTATTTACAACTTTTCTAACCTGAGAAAAATTTCAAGCCACCGCTGGAGGAAAACAAAAAGTAAAGAAGGTATCTAAACTGATTTTAGTCAGCTGCTGCTAATGGAGATTTAGGGAGGCCAAGGATTAGAGTAAACTGGCACAATACTTTTCCATACTAACCCACCTGTCCTCTTGGAGTCTCTCCTAAATAAGTAGTGTTGGAAGAGTGAGGTAGTCACAATGGCAGTACTCAGTAAATACTGATGTTAGCCCTACTCTTTCATTTTTTCTTTTGTCAGTGATCCAGTGTATGTTAAATTATTTTTTTTTTTTCAAAACAGTTGGTCTTGTTTCAGTCTTTTCAAAGTTCTGTGTGAAATTATGATACTATACTAAGTGTTGATATTTAGTGTTTCTAAGCATATTCTATAAAAATGTATCTCTGTTACAGACATGGCAAATATGTATACTCTGCTTCGTGCTGTGTCAAGTGGTTTACCTCATATGATTCAGGAACTACAAAACCATATCCATGATGAGGGCCTTAGAGCAACCAGCAATCTTTCTCAGGAAAATGTGAGTTTCCTCAGGCAGCTGAAATTCCCTATTCAATTAACATTCCTGATGAAATGTTTACTCTTTTCTTTTTAGTCTACTCTGTTGTGGTTTTTTTTTAATTTTTGTCTATATGAAATTGGTTTGAAACATTATGAATAATTTGTAACTTCTAATCAGCAAGCTTAGCTCTGCAACACATATCTATCCTGAGAGTTGATTGTTGTGATCTAACTAGAAACAGCTACAACTAGATGTTTCTCATTGTTTGTTTAATCCTGTCATGGCAAGTTCCCTTTTGTTCCATGTATGTATTTTTTTCCTGAATTTCTCTAAGTCAGTGGCATTTGCCCTTCCGGTACGTTAGGAACCAATGAGTCCATTTAGTTTAATTGTATGTTATTTGTAAAGACTTGACATCCTGTCCTGGTTTCAGTGTATTGTTTTTCACTAATAGCTTTCTAGTCTCATATTTTTCATGTAATTTCTGAAAATACTGTAGCTTAATTATTTTACTCAAGTGTGTTAAACTTTTTTCGGTTCATGTGTATATAAATTGCTCAATTCCATTTTTGTTCCTCTAGCATTGTTCTTCAGAAACAAACAAACAAGGTTTTATTTGGCATTGTATTTGTGCATGTATATGCATCTTGCTGTCTAGATCTGTGCTCACTTTGGGACAGTAACTTTGGCCATCCAGTGTTTCTGTCTATAATAATACATAGATGTGAGCTGTTGTAAATTCACTCTTTTATTGACTGCACAGGAGTTCTTAGTCTTCCATAACTCTGATGTGCATACTGAAAGTGGGTTGAAATCTTTAGGAGCGTAGTTTGCTTTCAAATTATCTGTAAGCTTATTGAACTTATTCCTTCATAGTAATAGTATCTACATAAAGAAAAGAATGCAGAGCCATGAGGGTGGTGAAAATTCATAGCCTTTTGTAGATAAACTTCAAATGTGAAATACTTGCTTCACTGTGTGGATTAGTACATCGTCATCAAAACGTTTTTAATGTATGACCTGAGAATGCCCTTGAGGAGTCAGAGGATGCAGCCAGTGCATTGCACACTCGTGCATTACTGCCTGCCAGCTTGTCTGCATAGGGACTCCTCTAGTTCGTATTAGTCATTTCTATACAAAATGTTATGCTGAAGTGTGGCTCATTAAATCTGATAGGTGACTGTTCTGTGTAGAAAAATTCGAAGGATTCATCCAGATTTGCCCTCTCTGAAGTCAGTGTGTAGGAGAAGCAGGAGATTTCTTATATCATTAGTTTTTTGGCTTGCCTGCTGTATTTACATGTTAGCATTAATGATTTTTGAAAGAGCTAATAAAGGATTTTAGGGTATGATATAAAAGATTAGACAACATGAGAACAGTATAGACTCAAATCTATGTTTGATCGCAGGACTGTAAATATAGCCATAGACCTTTTATTTACAAAGCATGCTCAAGCACAGCAGCGTAAGAGTACCACAATACAGAATCAGTCCTCTCAAACACTTAATCACTATGATTTTAACTTTTATCAAAAAGAATAATTAGGAAAAAATGTACAACTAATGAAGATATATTTGTGTGTACATTATACTACTTCTCTCATTAATTTGAATTCTGTTTTATCTACCTTTTTTAGATGCCAACTCAGTTTGTGGAGTCAGTTTTGGAAGTACATAGTAAATTTGTGCAGCTCATCAACACTGTTTTGAATGGTGATCAACACTTCATGAGTGCCCTTGACAAGGTAACTTTTACTCAAGTAAAAAAAAAACATTGGAAAGCAAAATGCGTGACTCTGTTTCAGGGTCACCAGAATTCTTCAGAGCATCAATGCATGTTCAAAGATACAGTTCTTATGCAATTTTTCTAGTGTAGAAGTGCAATGGAACAAGAGAATCCAGTGTTAGGATATGTAAAAGATATGTACAAAGGAAATAACTATAATACTTAAATATTTTTCGAAAGACCGACCTTTCTTTTCATTGTAATTCAAAACACAAAAATGGAGCCTACTCCTTTAATATAAATTTAAATGCAGATAAAAAATAGACAAATTGTGGGTTTTGGAAAATTTGGTAAATCTTACATGTGTTTGAACTTGAATTTGCTTGCTGACATCATGTTCAAACTCTGAATGCTGATAGTATTACTCACATAGAAGTTTTATTTAAATTTTTGAAATTGATGATACAATATCTGGAAACTTGCATTACTTGAATCACTGTCACAATAGCTAACTTTTTCCAGGAGAGAACTGCACTTGAAGTTAAATAAGCCTGTTTAGAGAAAGAGGCTTGCTGCTCTTTTCTTTGACTTGCATAGCCATTAGCCATGAAGATATTTAAGATAATAGTTCTAATAGTTAAAAATTTTATTAATAATTATTATTGTTATGAATTTTAATAAGTTATTGTTATAAATGTTAATTAGTTTTATTGATATAAATTTTAACAATATCAATGATAGCTATTTTAATAACTGTTATAAATTTTAATAATGCTTATTGTTATTAATTATACCTAACTTTATTATAATCATTATTGTTGTTATTAAATTCTGCAAAACATGCCTGGGCTCATGAGGGATTGAGTGGCTCCTCCTCAAAAATGAAGTACATTTTATCTAATTGATTTGTTAATTTTCTACCCTTTCCCCTATATCCTTGTATCTTTTTCCTAGAGAGAGGATTTACTACTTTCCTATATATAATTTTCTGTCATAGGATGCTTGCATACATTTCATTGCTCTTTTGTGTTTTTTTTTTGTAGTTAGGGTCATAGTTTAAGCTTTGATAATTTTCAGACAAGATTAATCTGGAAAGATAGTGGTGAAGATACCAGTAATAATATCAGTAGTAGTTACCCATCTGTATTTGTAATAAAGAGAAAATAATAATTAAGTATTTTAAAACAAATCCTTATTTCAGTGCCTTAATGCATTTCTGTCTGAATTGCAATTAATATCATGTACCAGAAGGTGGGGCAGTATGAGATGGACAACTACATTTGCTGGCACATAGGCAATGTGCTTTTTCCTTAAATGCATCAGTTCTTCACTTCAGTGATATTTAGTGCAGTAAATATTTAAAATCTTAATCTGCTGTCAGTTTTTCAGGGTAGATATCAAAACTGCTATTGTTGCCTCCAGTATTTTTGTGAAAGAGTGCTCTTAAGCTTCAGAGTTTCATATTTCTTGTCAAGTTCATGCATTTCTTTCTTACAGGGATTCTAGAGACCTGTTACCAAATATTGTAATGTCGAGGCATTGTACAGGAGCTGCTTGTCAGTTCTTCTTTATAATACAATTAATAATAATAATAATAATAATAATGTTTTCCTTCCACAGAAGGAACTATAATTCCTAGGAACTATGGTCAGGCAATATTTTTGATTCAGTGTTAGTTTAAAATGTGAGTTTAAATGTGATACGTAGTTTAGAAACTGAACTTCATGATTCTGATATCTTTGTTTATAGTTTCCAATTCTAAACTGCCATTATGCCCTTCCTTTTCTTTCTCATCATATTCAGGTTTTCTTCCGCTACCATATTTTTTGTACTGCACTGCTTCAAATTTCCACTTTCAACAATGTTTTTTCTCCTCTTCAGTCTATCAAAAAATCCAACAACCAAACGATCTTCCCTTTCTTACAGTTTTGAGCACACCATTTATATTTTTCAGCTCAAGAGATATGCTGTTGATGTAGGCTGCTGTTGATGTGCTACTGCTCAAATCTGCTTTATCTGCAATTATTCCTCAGTTTTTTTCTATCCATGCTTTTGGACTATACATATTGCTTTGTACAAAAATCTTCATGCTTTTACATTTAAATTTCTAATCAGAACTTAATTTGTTCTCCAGCTTTCTGCGGTTAACTTCTGTTCATCTACTCTTTCCACTTTTACTTAAATCTCAATCTAAAAATGTTCAACACACACGTTCTCACAGCGCAGTAATTCAAACCATTTTACTCATTGTTTCTTTTTTGATCCCCTTTTGCGTAGTTCAGTTTTATAGGGTCTCATATGATCTTTACTCTGGATGTTTTTTTGGTTTCTTCAAATTTCATAAAAGAAAAAGTTTAACTCTTTTACATTTTTTCTCTTTGCTCTGTGTTCCTATGTAGGCTTTGACATCAGTAGTTAACTATAGGGAGCCCAAGTCAATCTGCAAAGCACCTGAGTTGGTAAGTGATATAAATTATTATTGTAGAAAGTAATAATATTTTTTTTAACTGTCAAGTGAACTGGCATAGAATCCTTCACATGAATGTTTCTTGCACTGAGTCAGCCTCAGGTGTGTATTTCAGTAGTAATAAATAACTTTACCTGCACACGCGTTTTGTGGATGTGCAAAGTTGGTGCACTTGTAATTTTTGATATAGAATTTATATTTTCTGGGGATGTAATGTGTATTGTTTATGTATGAATACAGCCCTTGTAATAGAACAAGAGACTGTAGCCTGTGACTTATTTCATGCTTGAACTATTGTGTAGAAGTTTCGAATTTATTCTCAAGCTTGACAAGTAGGTTTGGGTTTGTTTTTTCTTTTTCTAAACTTGAGCTGGCCAAGTACTGTGACAACTTGTTGAAGAAATCGGCGAAAGGAATGACAGAGAATGAAGTAGAAGACAAACTTACAAGTTTCATTACTGTTTTCAAATACATTGATGACAAAGATGTATTCCAAAAGGTAACTTTTGATTTTCAAGAAATGTTACAATGTTACATTCAAAGTATACTTGAAGAAGGTGGTTATGCTTTACAAATTCTCATATCTGATTTTTTTTTAATGCAGTTCTATGCCAGAATGTTGGCAAAAAGATTAATTCATGGTTTGTCTATGTCTATGGATTCTGAAGAAGCCATGATTAATAAACTAAAGGTAATGTAATATTCTTTTAATGCAGAATAAACAAACATAAGAGTATGTAATGTTGAGAGGGAGCAGCAGAGGGTGCCAGAGGCAACAGCAGATCGTGTTTTCAATAGCTGAAAGGAAAAACTAATTCCTTGGTAGTCTATGAAAAGATACATGGCCAGTGTAGCTTAAGTGTTTGAGATTTTTATGATGTTTTGGGTAGTTTTAAGTGTGTTCAAATAATTAATATTTACATAATAAAAGTACAAACAACTTTCATAAACTAGCTCTATCTTTCAATTTTATAAGATAACATTGTTCCTATAAATCAATGTATAGTAAGTGAAACTAAGATAAATCTGATAACTTTCTTTTATATGTTTGTTTTCTATTGTAACTAGTGTTCTCTGTAAATATTATAACACTTCTGCTGACTAGATTTTCATGTTTTAGTAGTGAATGTGTGTAATTTATATCAAGCATACTGTTTTCACTTTGAAACGTGTTACAATATTTCTTCACAGCAAGCCTGTGGTTATGAATTTACCAGCAAGCTCCATCGAATGTACACAGACATGAGTGTTAGTGCTGATCTCAACAATAAATTTAACAACTTTATCAAAAACCAGGACACGATTATAGATTTGGGAATTAGTTTTCAGATCTATGTTCTACAGGTACTAATGTATGTTTATTACTACTGAGTTATTTGTACTTTGTTTTTATGTTCTAATAAAAAGCAAAAAATTTTTCCAACTACTAATACTTCTCATATGGAAACTGACACCTTGTGATCATTGTGGAATAATTTATTTTCCTAGTGTTTCTTTTTAAAATTAACCCACTAGCACACTAAACAATAGTGATGTAAAATGCTTTGTGGTCTTGTCTTGAATTAATACCTCAGTAGGGCATGCAGTAAAAAATGAGCAGTAAAACTTCTGGTGTAAATTGAATGTCTTACGACATAGTATATGCTATAGATCTGTTTAATAGTGCTTTTTTTTTTTTTCTTAATGTATATGTTGTTTGAAAACGTTAATGCTTTTATTTTTCCCAATACTTTTAGGCTGGTGCATGGCCTCTAACTCAGGCTCCTTCTTCTACATTTGCAATTCCTCAGGAACTGGAAAAAAGTGTACAGATGGTAGGTTAGTAGGAGGCTTTTTGTAAACGTGTGGAAAATGTAAAATCACTCCAAATAAAAGGTCCTCACTCTCACAGAGAAAAACCTGAGCTGCTTCGTTTTGTTTGTACATCATGACTATCCTGTTTCCAGTCCATATGAAATTTGGAAGTTTCATCCAAATGACGTACTGAGTTTATGTATGTGCTAGCATAGCTTTTTTTATTTTTCACATCTCTCTTCTAAACTTCATGATTGATGTGGGAGATACTAATAAATACAATAAAATTAACTGGGTTGATTCTTAGCTTTAAAACCGATTCCTAGTATTTAGAAAAATAAGATTTTGTTTCTAATATTAAATCTGAACAGATTTAATAGAAGATTAAAATGCAGACTTGCGTATCAGAAGCAGCTTGGAATCTGAGTTGCTTGTCTAACTTCATTGTTTCAGCAGTTTCAAGGAGCAAACTTATTAATGTGTCACCTAGCTAGAATTAATGCTCTAAATTACACTCGTAATTCCCTGAAGAAATGGAACATGACCTTGAAGTCTTGGAAAAGTTGACAATATCTGTCTTTACTGTCAAATTTGATTGTTAGACCCATGAAGAGAGAGTTGTCTCAGGATTCTGCCCGGAATTTAGAAAAAAAAAACATTTTGCAGTTTTACTCTGAAGTATGGGAGTACCCCTTTAACTGGGCAGACTGGTTTTTAGCAGCTTTTGCAGCCTTTGAGACCACTGGAGCTTCCAAATATGTATTTATTTGAATGGTATACAAATACTGGTTTTCATACTATGTAAGCTTGTGGGTGGAGAAACACCTGATTCCTAAAGAGGTCAAAAGTCCCTCTTTTTGTAGCTTCCTTCGATGTTAATCAGAGTTGCTAGACCAAATCAGGGTAAGCCAAACTGGTGTGTACACAGTGTTGGCTATGTAGGGCTTAGAGAGGTTTGGTCCTATTTTAAGGAAAGGTTATTTGAATCTGCTTAAATTTTTCTCATTACCAGAAAGTAGTTAGACCTTAAATTGGGATTAGTCTGCAAGCCACACTTTCTTGTTTCTTTCATATAGGAAATATGAGAGCAAAATCTCTGAATTTTTTTCTTTAAAAGAAAAAGCTTAAATGCTAATACTAAGGTTTAGCAGGCACGTGCCAATATTATGCAGTGTGATTTATTGCTCTTGGCTATAGGACTAATACAAAGGATTAAGGTCAGATTTATATTTTAATTTTTGTGTTGGATTTTCAGCTAAATTTCAGTTATTTTCAGAGGACATCTAAGAGAATGCTGTATCTACTAAAATGCTACTAAAAATCCTTGTTTTTATATTCCTCCTTACAAGCAGAATGATCAGACCCTTATATTGCATATGTTAATTAAAATCCTGATTTTTACAAGCCTTTCCATAAACTTTCACTTTAATCTTTGGAGAAGTTCTTTTCCTTCCTCTCCAAGTAACTTTTCTGCATTAGTTTAGCCCACAGAATTAAGTAAGCTGGAAGCCATGTCCTCAAAAGGGTTTTTTTTAAACAGTCTGGAATATCTTTAATTTTTCTTCAAAATCCAGTGCTCCTTTTAATTTCCTAGGGCTTTTTCTTATTCTCTCTCCATTGCTTGCTAGTTTCCAGAAATGGCAGGATTGATGAATTATATATGATATGGATAAGATTATTTTGCTGATTCTCTGTAAATTTGATTTTTTCTTATCACACTCTACAGGTCATTTATGCCCTTCATTCTTTTATTCTTTGTTAGTGAAAGTTACTTTTACACATACATAAACATAGCTTTGAAATAATCTTCTAGGAATTGCATTCCGAGAGTCTTCTGGAAAATGGTCTCATTTACAGTAGTCAGACTTAAGCACTTCAGTGCCAGATTTCAAACTGCATAGCTAATTTTCCCTTGCACAAAACCAAAAGCTTTGTTTCTCAAAGAAGAGAGGAATTTTTAAGTTGTATTTAGGCCTTTTGTTGTTCAGAGGCAATTTTTTTCATATTCCTGCTCTGCTAAATATTTGTGTCTCTCTGCATAATTTAAATACCAGGAAAAAATGCTTTCCAGAGTGATTGATGTAGCACTTCTTATAATGACAAGAAATTAATGTAAAAATAAAAAAAAAAGGAAGACATTAACATTACTACTAATGTTAGTTTTGCATGTAAGATTTTTAAAATACTGATTTTTGAGAGGATGCTTCAGTTTCTGAGTGTCAGCACAACCTTGTTACTTCCTAAATCACAAATGTGTGCTTCTTTGTGAAATTGGGTTTTGGAAGCTTTCAACAGAGATTTGAGGATCTGTAGTTGCCTCTTGATTTTGAGATGTTTTCAAACTGTGTAGCTGCGTCTAGCTTAAAACTCAAATTAGAAGGTGGCAAAAAACTGTGCCCGCTTTCAAGCTTGCTCTTTTGGAATTTCCCCTAAAAACATGTTCAGGAATGTAAGATGAGATTTGTGGCGAAAGTCAATATGTAGCTGACTGGGAAATACCTTTTAACTAAAAGTTAGTTTTTTGAAGGATGTTGTTAAAAAGAAAAATCAGTGAAACGAATTTTCTCAATTGACTTTAAATAGAATATCAAATCCATGGAATATGGAGTGATTTCACTAAGGTGAAAAAGTAAAAATACACTTGTTTTTGTATGGATTGGAAGGAACAGAAGAATAAAACCTAACAAAATTGAGCTGCTAAAACCTCCTGGAAATTCTTTTAAAATCAATAGAGTTGTTACTTCTTTGGAACACTGTTTAACTATGGTATCTTATACTTTGAGAGTGTGAATGTGTCAACAATCTTTTTGATTTAGTCATCAAGTGACATGTTAATATGTTCAAGTAGTTCAGTAAATGACTGATGTTCAGTCATTACCCGTCTTCTAAAGGAAAGTGCTGTCATGCATTGATCTGCAGTGTTTGTGTCCGATACAGTGAACATGAAACAGTATTTCTTCACTGGGGTGGTAGTGTGATAATGAACTATTCCAAGTAGTTATATGTGTGACTAATGGAAGTTCATTTTGTTTTGCAGTTTGAATTATTTTACAGTCAGCATTTTAGTGGAAGGAAGCTTACTTGGTTACATTACCTTTGTACAGGTAAAAAGAAGTGCTTTGTTAAAGTTATGTTCTAAATAGCTGACAATTATTTGTTAAAAGTCCTTTTCAAATGGCAACAGGCTTTGGAGTTGGAACATTATGTTGCATGTCAAGTCAACTGACTATTTTGCCTTATAAATTAATTTAATATTTGCTGCTTAGCATTTCCAAAATTTATACTTTGTAAACTTGCATATGTTATCTGTGACTTATTAAATCCAAGTAGAACTAGAGTTGTCAGTTATTTGCAGGACAGCACTTCAGAACTGCTGAGTTAATAACAGTATTCTGTGATTCTGTGTAAGCTATTACTAATTGAAGTTTATGCATTGCAATGCGTTGAGGCTATTTGGAAAATTATTTGCATTATTCAAATTCAACACTGTAGATTCCTTTTTGCTTGAAAACCCTATTGTTCTAGTATTCATAGTTAAGCAGAGGATTTTTTTGTTGCAGACCACATTCTTTATGTGTAAATTCACATCATCAGTTTTCATCTTCCCATTCCAAGTGTTAAATGCATACTTAGGTGTGACTTGAATGTCTGAAAATGTAAAAGGAGCTCTAATAGTTAGGCTTCAGGTGGCTTTTCACCACATTCCATCAGTTTATAAAATACCGCTTTTATTATTACAGGTGAAGTAAAAATGAATTATTTGTGCAAACCTTATGTAGCCATGGTCACAACATACCAAATGGCAGTGTTGCTCGCCTTCAACAACAGTGAAACTGTCAGTTACAAAGATCTTCAGGATAGCACGCAAATGAATGAGAAGGAACTGACAAAAACCATAAAATCCTTACTTGATGTCAAAATGATCAACCATGATTCAGACAAGGTATGCAGTAATGTAAAAAAGTTTCGTGTTTTCAGTCTTATGATTCTAATATTTGTTGAAGGCTTTTTTAATATAAAAGAATCTGCTGTTTGCTTATTTTTTCTAAAATGTATTATTGACCCTTGTGAACAATGACAAATCTGTATTTATAAGGAAAGAGACAAAAGGAATTAGACTGTGTCATATAGACTCTCTATGGCTATAACAGCATGGTATGCTGAAAAGGTAATAGTGCTAGAACTGTTAATTGTTTCTGTTGCATTTCATCTATGTGGCTTTAGACTCACTATAGTTGGAGGGGAATACTCTTTAAATACACCGCTTCCAAAGTTGTACTGAATCATGGGAAGGAGCCTGAGTAGTAAACCAAACAGTCTTACAGAGATCCTAAAAAAAAAATAATAAAATGTAGGATTAAGAGACTGAAAGTAACAGCAACCATGTTCTTCCTTGCTGATGGATTACAGGAAGAGGAAGGGGAACAGGGAGGGCTTATATGCGGGTTTTTTTTTTTTTTTCTGTAATTTGCCAAACTTTCATCCTATGAGTTTCATGGAATTCCAGTAACATCTGAGCTTTGTTTTGTGGTTAAGGCTAGGATTGATACAGGTTTTGTTTCTGACTCTGCCTCATACTTTTGTACGACCTATGTGAAACCAGTTACCCTTTTTCCCACACAGTGAAGGGCACAGATGTCTGCTATGTAAGAAGCACTGCAGAAGTGCCTGTGCGTACCATACAAACTTCAGCATGTGCTTCCAGCTAGCCCAGAAAGCCAGTAATTCAGACAGTATCAGGCAGAAGAAACTGAGATAAGATGTTCATTTTGCTTATGAGAAGAAATCCCAAGATGCTCCGAATGCTGGTTTTTTTTTAAACTAAGGAAATATTAGAAATTGGAAAATGAGATCACAAGGAAGATCTGATGCTTGACTGAAGCATAGGACATGCTTCCAATATCTAGAAATGAGCTCAGGTTGGAACAGTGACTGAGAAGATGTCTGTTAAACCATGAATGAAATTTAACAGTGGGAGCTATTACAGAAAACAGTGAGATTTTTTCAAAATCTCGAAGTTGCCCGTTAATTAAAGGATTTACATTTATTATGCCTGCTGTATATGATTTGCCCGGTTTCTTTAAGCATATGTTATTGAAGAGAGAACGAAACAGCTTTCCAACCCTTTTACCTGTTTACTACTGCGTTTTCTGGTTCATTAACTTCTAGGCTATTGTATTCAAACATCTCTGCTAATTCTGTTTTCTTTGCACTCCATCCAGCAATGTGAAAGCAGATCTGTAGACAGCCTATCAGCTTGCTTATTGAATAAGCCAGTGAACTTCACTGGCTTAAGCAGTGAAATTAAATACACTAACTTCTCTTTAGCTGTATCTGAGCCACACAGAAAAGTACAGTGTATTAAATGTTGTAGTTTGCTTTTGTTTGTTTGTTGTTTTTTTGAAAGACAGGAGGGGAAAAAAGAAACTTTTGACAAAATCTTTATTGGTTCATTAGAATCATGTTTTTTGAGTTCATGTACAACACACAATTTATTTTGGTTTATACTCAACCACATAATCTGAATGTTAAAATTTAATGTTAGCTTATATTTTTTTAAGCCATTGATCTTTAACCTTTCATGTTAAGTTTTCCATACTATGCCTGGATATTATACAATATTACAATAAAGAGTATTTGTTGCAGAATATAAAATTAGAATTAATATTGTTTTGAGTGTATATTTAGATAAATATTGACTGTGTTTACTGAAGCATTTACACTTGACGCAACCATGGTTTGGCAAGATTCCAAAGTCTAAGGAGTCCAGGAACTTTATTCTGCTGGAAATTGGTAATACTTGTACAGACCCTTGCCTGGAAACTGCAAAGATCGGTCAGGTCATCCTGTGAATTGAGTGTAAAGGGGTTTGGACTGCAGGCAATAGTTACCATTTATTGAAAGAGATGGACTTTTACATATGGAAAAGAATTGAAATTCTGACAGGAAAAAATTAGAAACATACAGATAGATGTGGAACTGCAGAAGTTACAGCTTGTTGACTCTTTCTGCTATAACATAACAAAATACTTAGATGTTTTTCCTTAAATTCTGGAAGGCAACATTAGTAACAGTTGTGAAAGCAACAGCACTCTCTCTTGAGGTTCTGCCATAAATAAATGCAAATCCTACATTGTTTGCAGGGAGAAAATGAGTTTAATTGGAGAGTTTTTGCAACTAAGATAAGCTGTGAAAGTATTAAAACCTAATGTCAGAGTTCTTTATAATGTTTTCTAAAATAGACTGGGTTTCTAGGTTAATTAAACTATAGCTTAAAAAAATGAACTGATTCAAGTGGCATTTTAGAATTTCAACTACAAATCTGAAATTATTTGTATGTATGCAAACCCTTAACTGTGATTTTTTTCAAGGTAAATTGTTACCATTTTTTGATTCCATTTCTGATTTTAAAAAAAGATTCTTTATTGCAGGAAGATGTAGAGGCAGAGTCTACATTTTCATTAAATATGAACTTCAGCAGTAAACGAACAAAATTTAAAATTACTACATCAATGCAGAAAGACACGCCACAGGCAAGTATTCTTCGGTGTTTCTATCTTGAACAGCTTAGGAAGCTTATTTTTCTAAAATCAAATTTATTGTATTGGTTTGGTGTAAGCAGATGTAAGAGTCCCTGTGTAAGATTTACATCACCGTAAAAAAGTTAAGTTTAAAGCTTAAGCACTTGCAGGAGAAAATGAAATAGAGAATAAGGAAGTAGAAGGAAAAGATAAACAAGAGCTATTCCTCTTGTACCAAATGAGATTGACATTTAGCTTGTCTTATCTAATGAGACTTTTTTCTTGGTGGTGTTTATAAAAGCAACTTACTCAAGGAGTTGCAAAACCAATCAGCTCTGTTTTCCTATGGTTATGTGTGTCCTTTGGCAACTAAAATTAAAATTAACTCCAGTGTTGATAATCCGTGTTCCCTCTGCATCTCCTAAGATACAGGGTTTGGCACAAGAAACATGTGCTGCCAAACTCAATACATTTTAGTAAATTCTGCCTACCTTTCTCCCTAGCGAAAAAAAACGCTGATTTGGATGTGTCTCTCCTACCTTCCTACTAATTTTCATGGAACCTGCTGTTCTTGATTTGTGGAAGTACTTTGCCTGGAATTGAACTTCACCTACATTTTTGTATTAGTTGACCAATTTTAACAGTGTAAAAAGTATAGATTCGAGATACTTTTATGAAGTGTTTATTGATCTTACTGTATTTTAAGCATTACTGTTTTTCCTATATTGCAGGAGATGGAGCAGACCAGAAGTGCTGTAGATGAAGACAGAAAAATGTATCTTCAAGCTGCTATAGTCCGTATCATGAAAGCACGTAAAGTGTTGCGACATAATGCTCTTATTCAGGAGGTAAGATAAAATCCTTTTCTTAAGCATGATTTGATTAAAATCTTCAGAATAGCTGGTTAAAACATCTGACCACAGAACTCTTCCCATGTCAAAACTAATTCCTCAGTGAAATTAGCGAGAATTTCATTGGAGTCTACTTTGAACTGGAGCATGAGCTGTGAACCCCTAATCTTGTAAACGTGTCTTATCGCTAAAGCATCAAGTGCCTCTGTGCTCTCTTTTTCCTGTTGGCTGGTTCTGTGCTGACAGATGTTGTATCCTGGAAGAATCATTGTTAGAGCTATAGGTTCAACTGAAAATCTGAGTATGGGTATTCCAAGTATGGAATTTCCATGGAAGCACCTAGCCAATTTTGAGCTCTAATTGTGATTTTATTCTAATTCATGGCTTAAGTTTTAAAAAGTTGTCTGAATATGTAGACATGAACTTGTTAATCTCCTTTTTCCATTAAGTGGTACAGTTGGCTAGATTTTTTATATTCTAGATTAATGATCTGTGATCTATCACAGACTAGCTGGGAAGGAAGTCTTATTTCTTTTTTTTTTTTCTCCCACTTTTCCATCTGCACTAGTTGCCTGCCTATTTGTATTTCTCATTCCAGCCTAACCTTTGCTTTTTCCAACCAGTTCACAGTTTTAATTTCTTCAGCCTTCCAAGGTGTTCGTTCTTCAGTCTGTCTCATTCTTGTGTGTCCTTAGCCTTGCTGGATAGCCTCAGAGAGGATTGGTGGGAGGGAGAATAAAGATTCCTGCTTTACTTGACCATTTTGAGAATAGAAGTGGAGAGGCATTCAGTCATTTTGAGACACATTTGCTGCGTGCTTTCTGTCACTTACTTTTTCTTTCCTGAAAAATATAAGCAGCTACAGAGAGCTTGTAAGCCCAGAACTTGCCATGTAAGACATCTTAAGGGTTTTGGATGTTGAAATAGTGCTTGTACACAGATATTCTGAAAGTACGCTTAATTTAAGAAGTCTGATTTTGAATATCTAAAAGATGAGGCAGCATAGGTCCTGATTATTCTCAAAATCTGGTTATTTGTTTTCCTGTTACTTAAATTATCTGTGCAGTTATGATGAAATCATAGAATGGTTAGAGTTGGAAGGGACCTTAAAGATCATCTAGTTCCAACCCCCCTGCCATGGGCAGAGAAATCCTCCACTACACCAGGTTGCCCAAAGCCTCATCTAACCTGGCCTTGAACACTTCCAGGGATGGGGCATCCACAGCTTCTCTGGGCAACCTGTTCCACTGCCTCACCACCCTCTGATTAAAAAATTTCTTCCTTGTATCTAATCAAAA